CCGCGCTTCATAAATTAACTTAGCCAAAACTGGCCGACGTTACCAAACATCCATACCCTGTAGAATTATCGATAAAAGTACGTATGAACTCACCTTTTTTATGTCTGTATCCCTGGTTGAGAGAAGGCAAAGGGGCTACGTATCTCCACGCCCGCCGGCCTGGGCAACTGTAGGGAAACAGCGGTGATTAGCCTCGTGTCATTATCGCAGGAACCGAAAAGGAGGAAAAAACGCTTATAACCTCACTTCTTTACCTGTGAATATGTTAAGAAGTGGCTTCCTTATTTTGGCAAGAAGGTAGCTTCGTTTCCTATTTGAAGATTTCGCTTCTCATTGAGCCTTAGGACTCGGCTACTAAAATCTGAAGTTTGTTTAGTATAAACTATTTTTGGCCCTGCCCAGCAACAAGCTTGACACCTAATTCGACCAATGGCAGCCCTGCTTCTCCCAGACATCCAGATACCACGTGTTTCAGAATCTCACACGCCACATGCCTTGCATTGGCCGTGAAAATAGTTCTATGTCGCCATGTGGGCCATAAGGAAATTTATGCCGGACACGAAAGCCGATCCTCGCCCGCTAGGTTTACGTTGACCAGTGCACGGGGATTCTCCGTTTGTACCGAACGGGGTTTCCTTGTTTGTATTGCACGGGCCACGCTCAAACTTTTCCGGAATTGACCAATCAGAGCATCCATGTGCTCTCTCCTCGCGTCCTTTTCCACAAGCGGGGCGGTTTCAGTTTATCGAGGGCATGGGCGATAAGACAAATTTGGCTTATCTGTCTAGAATGCCCCCACACACATTGCAATGGACATCAAAGGCAGATTATTGTGGGAAACACTAAAGTAGTCCAGCGCTACATTTGCTTCAAAACAAGGTGTACATCTCATATTCAAGTCAAAGAAACGTAGAAATTATTCAGCTGTAGACAAGGCTGATATGTCCAGCGCAAAACATTGACACGTTTCACAATCAAAGTCACACAAGACAACCACTGAACAGGCCGGGTGGTTACAGGGGAGTATGTAAGTCTTCTATAAAGTCTGCTATATAAGACGAACGATCAGAAATGTGAAGTCGTAATCAGGACTCCAAACACGGAAGGTTTCTATACATAAAATACACTCCGGATCCTACCATAAATGTATATGATACCTGTCAACGCTCCTGTTTAAAAGTGTACCCTAATAAAGCACGTATGAACTCACCGTTTTGGGAGTCTGTTATCGCTGGTGGAGAGGAGAGCAGTTGTTCTCAAGTGGTCCGGGGTACGGCCACGCGGAGTGCGGGCTCGTCTCGTCTAACAGTAGAAGCGTTACTAGTTGAATACGTTCAGGGGGTCCAGTTGTAAGTATTGTTGATACGGCAAATGAGTCAAATAAGTCAAATAGTTTGTCAGTTGGACTACAACGAAAGTTTAGTACGTCCTCGCGGGTAGCTGGCGACCGACTGAATGAATGTATGGTGCCTCGTGTACGGACCACCCAGAGGTGGTGGTGGTGGTCAGTCAGACAGATAGGTTTGTTGCTATGGCAACTGTCGCGACGGACTTACTGGGAAATAGTCTCCCTTCCGGTTTACAGCAAAAACCCTATTTTGCAGGGCAAAAGGCCTTTAGCTTCCAAACTCACGGGATGACAGAAAAGCATGTGCCATCCTACATGTCCTACAGTTTTGGAAAAAGGTGATATGTAAATATTAAAAAAAAAAGAGAGAATAGCTAGTCTTCTGCACGATTATCTTATGAAAGAATATTTTATGCAAAGTCATCTTAGTTTGCTTGTGAGAGAGGTATAACTATATTTTATTTCATTTACTGTATCATAATGTTGTGTAGCGTGTTCATTTTTTTTCTCTACAACTATGCCCTGAACATCTGCTTGGAGACTTCGCACACAGTAAAATCCGACCAATACAATTTCCAAGTAGATACAGGGACCTAATGTTTGTTTTACTAATTTTCAGTAAGTCTGCAAGCATTCACTCGAATATCAAACAATGGAACAGATACGGAGAAAGGGACAACCCCAACTATACCCACGAACATCTGCTTGGAGACTTCGTAAACAGTAAGATCCGACCGACACAATCTCCAAGCAGATACAGGGACCGAATGTTTCTAGTAATTCTGTGTAAAAAATCATCTGAAGATCAAACAATGGAACAGATACAAAGAAAGGGACAACCCCAACTATACCCTCCCCCCGAACATCTGCTTGGAGACCTCGTAAACAGTAAGATCCGACCGACACAATCTCCAAGCAGATACATGGACCGGATTTTCTAGTAATCTTTGTAAAAAAATCATCTGAAGATCAAACAATGGAGCCATATTATATTCCAACGTTATCTCAACGGGCGCGACCTACTCATAGTAATTGTTATCCTTTACCCAGACTAACCAGAGCATCTACTAGGGGATGTGTATATGACGATATTTATGTTACCGACAGTTTAGAAATTATTTGTGTCTGTGGCGTTCCGAGCGGAGCATTGACTGTGTTGTACCGAAGTAGGCCGTGCAGAGTAACGGTCTCCGCTCTCGGTCACGATCGTATCATAGTTTGTATACCTATATTTTCGTCATGTATCCAGGGAAAACACCAATAATTCGTTTATTCAGTGACCCATAGCGTAAATACTGCAATGTGCATTGAAATGTTATCCGGGAAACCTCTCAGTAAGTGTCGCCAGAGGACACGGGCACTGAGACGGCGATGCCGGTTACTACACGGTGTCCAGACCCGACAATCACCGTACGGGTCGGGGTATCGCTTGTCGGTGCAAGGATGCTGCCCGTAAATTATATACACTATTGTATACACTATTATACAATGCCATACTTGTTGCTCTGAATGTGTGGGGGGCAATGGGCCTTAGATATTGAAGTATTACGCAGCGGAGCTCTCCGCGATGTGAACACCGCGAAGGTTTACGTCAGACTGAGCTCCGGTTGTTTACGTTACGCCTTTTATCGGGCCAGGTCACCGTTAGTTATATAGTGCAATCGAACACAATAAACAGAAGAGACATTTCTTGTTTGGCGAGATATGCAACCTTTTATTCTGTTGCATCACAAACCATAGTATCAACACGTGCGAGGCATGATGTAGGATAGAGATTGTCTCAAATATATTAACATGTGTCTCATGTCAACAATCCGGCCAAAACACGCCTAACTGCGTGAAAGAAACCAAGACCACGTGCGTGTGCGAACGAAAAGGGGAAACCAGCCAATCGGGCACAAATTGTGTCGGAATGAGAAAGGAAAGGGGTTCACAAGGGACAAGCGAACACGTTTTAAATGTGCTTTAGCTGGCGGTCGAAAGCCCCGCGGACACTCTTGTAATACTGGAGGTTTCCCAGATCGGACAAGTGTAGGCCGGCAGGCGCAAAGTAGTTTGGGTTGCGTCTCCACAGACGTCTGTGGTCCCATACTGTGACCTTGGGGTAGCTCTGCACAAGTCCCTTCAGCGCCTCCGTGAATTTGTGAAGGCGCTGAGGAAAGTCAGACATGTTAGGTGGAATATGGAGACGCCAGATATCTGGGGGAACCTTGGAGGAGCGCCCGGTCTGCTTTCTGGTGGAGACCCACTCAGTGTACACGTAGCGTGTCTTTCATATATGGCAATACCTATTAAAAATTTCATGCTCATTTGGTAATACTTGCGTTAGATACCATTCTTTCCTAATAACTATACCTTACTCACGTACTTCCTAAATAATCAAACATAAATCCATACGAATGTGAGTTACAGCTCAGGGTACACATTTCATTCGTTGATGCATGCATCATATTAGCACCCTCAAAAACAAACAATATAACTTCCTACATACAATACGGTGTTAAAAGCACACACATTTTAACATACTAGTAGTACTAAAACAACAATCCGTTATAAGAAAAATTCCTTTTACGCAAGCTATATCAAAAGGGTTACAAATTTATACTATTATATTATTAAAATACTCACGTCGCCGGTGTGTTTTTTAAACACCGCCCTTGTTTAAAATGGATTCAGCTTCTTCATTTTGGGGCCTAAGGATCTGAAATTTGGTATGGAGGTACAGTGGGCAAATACCCTTAGGCGTTTTTAAATTTTTGTGATACAGGCTTTTAGAATGGTTTTATTTGAGTTTTTTGGCTGTATTATAGCAAATGTATTACTGTGTCAGTGGGCAGTGTTAACCACATTTGGCATGAGTCATCACAATGGAATGCAGGGCATCAACCAATAGGCATGCAGCTTTCCTCTCTTCTTCTTGCTGATTGGCTGTTGGGATTTAACTTGATTAACACCTGCACAGACCATTTCCACCTGCACAGAGCATTTCTTGCTGATTGGCTGTTGGGATTTAACTTGATTAACACCTGCACAGACCATTTCCATACTGACAGTATGTCTGTATTCAAGTGTTTTGGTAGGTATTTCAAGCTTTCCTGCTCCAGCATTGGAATGCGGGGCATGAACGTTTTTTTTTTTGAAAATCAACAGTTTGCATTATGCAATTAAAAATCCTAACCAATAATGTAGGGAATAGCTAGCCAACTGTTGTAGTCTTAGTTGTATGTTACTTCATATTATAGTTATATCAATGTAAAAGCATTGGTTTTCCCTTGTGTTTCTCATTCTTTCCCTGCCATGTCGTAAAATGTGGTGAAGCCATCGCTGTATTTGCTCCAAAGCAAATATTGGCCTTTCTAGTTTTTTTGCTGTCTTATATCATAACATTCGTTCATTACGACTGCCGGGCCGGGCCCCGGTTTGGAAATGTGACCTTAGCAAAAGCGGTCGTAGCCTCTAATGGAAAGAGGGTACAGAAAATGTGATTTGCTGTACTGCGTTACTTTTCAGAAATTTGTTGTTCCAGACAGTGTCAATGTTGCCCTTAAAGTTGCTATGGACAATTCATGAATGTTTTTCAACAGCATCAAATTTTGAGGAAAGATTCTAAGCATACATAAAGCAAGAAGTAGTGAGAAATTAACGTGGCCTATACAACTTCAATAGATCCAGAACGCTAGCAGATTTAAACTAATTTCTTTGCAGAACCAAAACTGAGAGATGAATCATGAAAGGAACGTAAAACGCATAACTTTTAATAACTCTCAGCACGACAGGATAGACGTAAGACTTCTTGTCGTTTACTTCATCAATAATTATCATTCATAAAGATATACATGTATGATGTATACAATCAATTATAGATTCATATACCACATTATAGTTTCATGTTTTTTTGATTTGTATATATTTACACTTGATTCCCTTCTGTTAGCTATATAGATCGAGCAACTTATATTGCTTGTTCGTTTAACTTTTTAAAGTGTTAACTAAGTAATATAACATTATACCTCGTCTGCTTGTACTTCACCAAAGTCACAATCTAAAATATATGTTACACAATTTATTTTGTAGCATAAATGTAACAACACAAATACCAGCCATATATACATCTTTTGGCTCATGTTACTTTGTTATACTTATTAGCCACATATTATAATAATCACTTAATAATTCTACTTGGTGTCTTAGAGACAAAATCTACTTCTCATTCTCACTGTCAGCTGGCTCCTCGTTCCCAGGACTTTCCGGGCTGGATGGGGGACTTTTCTGGTCCGTGACGCTGGGTGAGGGGGAACCAATCAGAGGAGACGTACCACCTGTCGTCGTCTGTCCTACGTCACTGAGATCCGGGTTGGGATTGGCCTTGTTCGGGATGGTGGACTCACGTGACCCGCCCGTGGACAGAAGTTCCCGCTCTTTGGAGTTGCGCCATTTCATCCGCCGGTTCTGGAACCAAATCTTCACCTGGGCAAACAAAAGACAAGACGGGGGATAAGAAAACCTATCCTGACCAACGTTACAAATCTTTGAACTTGTCTCCAGAATGATGACGATGTAAATACACAGATGAAAAATGCCTGTTGCTAGTACTGCGATGACGAATCACAGAAGATTTTGATAAAACACATAGAAATTATTTTGTGTCATTTCAACAAAAATTATCACTATGAATAATCAGTATACGTTATTCTCTGTATATTCCCAATGTTATTACCACCCAAACTACATATAAAGGGTATATTTCACTTAGTCCATAGTAAACAGACAATTGTGTAGATGGCTCTCTTTCTCTCTATTTATTTTTCTTCTTTAGACTTCACTTTCCCTGTAGTCTTCACTCTCCCACGTTTCGCTCTGAACTGACACTACTCCTGACTTAAAATGATTGATCATCTTTATCCATGAGGTCATTGACCTTTACGTACCTACTGAAATGAACAACAAGGTCAAGGAACCCAGTCTAAAATCCTAAATAGTTTTGGCGAAGTATTTAAGTATAGGGTCTACATGTACAGTTTTATATCTCGATCAAAAAAATGATGAAGGCAAACACGTTAACACCTGCGAATCTTTCAACCCGAGTTTCTCGGCCAGTTTCCTCCGGTCCTGTTTGCTGATGTACTTCTGTTTCTGGAACATTTTCTCCAGGCTTTTCCGCTGGAAGTCCGAGAAGACCGCGCGGCGGAGCATCCCTCTGCGGGGCTTGCCGCGGTGCAGGCCCGGGGGAGCGCCCCAGTGACACCCGCTGAAGATGGGGAACGTTGTCGGTGACTCTAAAAATGAAATTAAAAAATCAGTCACAATCATGACTTGACGCTTCTGTGTTTTTCAACGACGTTTAGTAGCTGAAAGCAGGTAATGATTAAAACCGACTTTCTATTGTGATGTTTAGTAAGCAAATGGTAAGTGACAGTAAAAGTATTCAACAAGCAATAAAGCTTAAAAGTACATTCAAAAACTATCAGTCGCCGTTATAAATAACACAATGGCTACAGAAATAGCCCGGATCACTAATTAATTCCTCTATGACAACGACCAACACGGAAAGTTATGTAAAGTCTGGTCCGTACACACTTAACAAGCCAATAGACGGCATCGCCAACACTTGTAATGTCATTATGTTCAAATCTCTTCTTCATTAGTGGAAAATTCTCCGGCGAACAACGGTTCCCTCCCAAACACAAATTTATCGAAAGGCTCATCTCCGTAATTTGCTTGGTCCGATGAACGGTTGACACATGTTTACTCACCTGCATAAGGCACCTTGTTGACAGGGCTAAGGTAGGTTTCCGCCGGGGGGTAGGTTCTGGGCTGGGGGCAGAACGCGCACCGACAGCCTTCTACGCTCGGGCTGGTCGGGCTGCCTATCATGACAAGAATAATCATAATCATAACCATGTTAGTTCATCTGTGTTGGTAGTAATCATGGTACAATGCTAAAATTTATTCCAACAAAGAGTACACAAGGATCAGAAATTTTCAGCGACCACTACTGTCGCATCATGTATCCTGATGAAGGCGACGGTGGCCGTTGAAAATTCGGCCCTTGTGTAAGCTTTGTGTTGGAATGAAGTTAAGCATAGTACTATAATCATAATGGTAATGTTTGAATGTCCGTTTATATCGTCAATTACAATATATAACTCTTAAACGCACGTTGTTTGTATAAACATTCCAACATTTCATCATGCATTTTGCTTCTAAATTTAGAATAAAAGAATCACATCTCGTAAGTTTTACGTCACTTCAGAACGATTTTATACGTAATATTTCATTGTCAACTGCCCTAGTTTCACATAGAGCTGCGACGAGGTTGACAATATATGTATATCAAGTAGAGTGTTTGACTTAAGCGATAACATCGGCACTTGTCAGCTAGTTTGTTTGCGTCCCAACACCTCCTTCACCCATTCCCGGCCATTAACTTTCTTTCTGGCACTCACTGTATGGACTCGCGATTCACTAATGTACATCGGTATCATAAAATTATATTTTCGGTTCAATATGGTTACGACAAGCCAATAACATCACGAATATCAGTAAGGTTTCGTTAGTTTTGTGGTAGGGTACGTAGTTAAGGTCTCGTATTTAGAAGACATGGAACTGTAACGGAATAAAGCTTGGGGATAGTTATCAAATACCATAGAAATACATGTTTGTATGAAAATGATTTCCACTAGTACTTTTGAAGCTTTATGAGGAGTTGTGGCTAACAGTAGCTAGTTTTAGAAAATATTTAGAGAATATAGCACATGAAAATGACAAAATATATGTCCCCTTACCTTGCTTTCCTGACAAGATTGCGTTCACCCCAAACTTGAGGAATGTCCCGTTATTTCCGTTGTGATGTGGAGAAGACGCGTTAACGCCGGCAAATTTTCTGGTAGAAATGCACCCGTTCGTATGACTCAGTTCGTAGGGCGAACTCCGTAGGCTGGTGGGACCGTTAGCGGTGGATATGGGCGGGAGGGACGGGAGGTAGCAGCCGCCGGCGTGCGTGTGATAGCCCCTGAGGATGTCATCCATGTAGAACGGGGTGGAACAGGTGGTGGCGGGCTGGAGCGGCGGTGGGAAGGTGATGGTCGGCCGGAAAACTGTCGGCTGCGCCGGGAACGCTACGGGCGAGAACACGCCTTGATACATCGCGAAAACTTCGTCTACGTTTTACCGTCCACCTTGTCGAGACAAAAAACTAACTTGTTCTCCTTACAGTAACAGCCAGTTTGTGTAGAAAACGGCAATAAACGTCATGAAAGAAAAACTAAGATCGGACGCTGCTCATTCCTGTCCAGAAATGAATGCGAGTGGGCGGGCGTCAAGCCGAACTGACAACAGTCCTAGTCAGTAGCGTGAGGTTCGAAAGCTGGGTAAGACTATGTCTGAGCGGGTACTGTACTGTGCCAGTTGTCTCGGATGTATGCTGCAATCCTACGTTCCCTTCTCAATGGCACATGGCACACTATAAACAACACCGTCAGTTGATTGGCGGCTTGTTAGGACGGGGTACACAAAGTCCCTGAATACAGGTGAACCCAATAATCAATGGCCATGGGCCGCAAATTTTACTCAACGGAGTTGTAAAATTAAGTACTTATTGCTAAGAAGTAACCGGCATCAGTACGATGCAAAGTCATGGCTGGGTGAAATTCATTGGTGAGTGGGAGAATCAAAAGAAAGAAGGCTATCCCTGCCCCCTAACCTCTTTATGCGCAAAACGCAAATCAGACGTAGAGCGCCATCTGTAGGCGCCTGTCAGTACTGCATGCCGTAGCAGGGTGGTTATATAGCGCCGCCTGTCGATTGCGTCAACCCTTGTTCCGACCAAACTTATTGGAAGTCGACTTGTCCGTGTGTACCTACTTGATTGAAGTACCTTCACTCTTCATTAGGTGCATGGCGCTTTAATGAGGTCCAGTGACAGAAAAGGCCTACACGGGGTTTATTAGAACACTTAATACCGACATAAATTAATGGGTGTTTCAGGAACCACTGTATGGGGGTGGGTGGTTGTGAGAACTACATGGGGACATGAATACTACATGGGACCAAGGATGGGACTTCAATAGCACTTCTATTTACTTCTATTTTATCCTTCTAAAACAAAAACTCTAAAAAGAGACCACATGACTGTTTATTAAGTGTACAGTGTGTTGCTCAAGTTGAGTCTGACATTTTGAAAGCTAAGTTTCAAAAACTCCCTACAATGCCCTAGACCTTAAACCTAACCTGGTTATAACTACCCTACAGCCCTACTTTATGTAAAGACCTTTGCTCTCAAAGCCCATGTATTCATATATTTTGGATCCATTCTAGGACAAGGTGGCCACTACTTGTACTAGAATAGAGGCAAAATACACTAAAAATAAAGGCTAAATGGGAACAAAAGACTTCATTCTCAAAAGTCACTCATTCTACAACTAACATTAACACTAGGCTACAACGAAGACTAGACCTTAAAGACTAGACTATAACTAACCTTAACACTAGGCTACAACTAACCTTAAGACTAGACTATAACTAACGTTAACACTTGGCTACAACTAACCTTAACACTAGGCTACAACTAACCTTAACACTAGGCTACAACCATTCTCAACACTAGACTACAAGTAGACTACAACTATTCTTAAACTAAACTGCGCTTACGTTGGCGAAGGTTAGACATTCGGGTAATAAGAATGAAAAAAAAAAACAGTTACACAAGCAACTGGGTATGATAAATCTGCGTTTCTCCTCTAGTCTCACTGTGTCACTGACGTAAGTAGTGCAAGTGGATGCTACCTGAAACATCTGACCGTTTCCAAAATCATATCCAGTTGCTTTATAGTGAGTACCGGGTGAGTGAGTAACTTTTTTGGCATAAACTGCACTTATCTTAAAAGCTTATCTTAAAACTAGACTACAACATAATCCTAAAAAGAACATTTGCGTTATAAAATCCTAAAAAAGAACATTTAGAAGTTATGAAATCCTAAAAAAAGAACATTTACAATCTTGGCTACTAGTATTCAAAGAGACATTTCAATTTGTGACTGCATTATGCAAGAATTTAAAAAAAAAACATGCATTTGACATCTCACAGCTGGTAGGTACGAGGAATGTAGCTAAATATAGCAGGTAACTACAATATTTCCATAAAACTACATGGCCCGGCTTAGCACCATGACAAATTTAGCTTCACCCAGAAAGATGGCAAAAGACTTAATAACATGAACATATAACATGAACATACAACCTGAGCAACACTTGTCTAGCATACATAATGATTGTAAAATGATACATTGCATGGTTTGAAGAGCTTTAACAAGAACTTCCATTTACAGACTTGACTTTTTTTCATCCAGAGAAATGCTGCTGGTGGGGCGGTGGCAGGACGTTACTGATCTGTGATGCAACTTCAGTCCAAGCTTAGGTAACAATCCCCTCTGTCTACCCGAGGCATCACCAGCAGGGAGAATCATAATCACTTGGTTGTCAGCACTGAGGCAAAGAGAATGTTGGCAACAGCCCTTGTGACGGCACTGGCAAGGGATTAGGACACTTTGAGAGCAATGGTTACTTCTGCACACAGTGCTTCAACCCGTTCCTGTGGCAACCAGGTCCAATGCTTGGCCTGATCAGCTTCTGTACCCACGCTGACGACCGGAATTGCGCTCAGAGGTAACTACAAAAGTTTAGTCCTCCAGAAAACAGTGACTTCCCCAGTTCTGTTAGCTCATGATCACTTACGCACTTCATCTTCCTGTCCTCCCTTCTGGCCAGGTGTCTTTGTTCGGGATCTCAAGACTAACGGATACATACACCATCACCACCTTCCACCACTCACACCCCCCTCCCCCCACTCACACTCCCTCACCCACTCACACCCCCCTCACACCCACTCACAAGGCAGCTCATGTAATGGTCAGGGTTCCCGACCCACTGACAATCACATAATGCAGAAAGAAAGTCAGGCAGTACAAGATACCTAAATAATCATGGGCTAACAGAACGTACGGAAGTCTCCGTTTCCTAGAGGACTGAACTTTGCAGCAACTCCAAACACGACCCCAGCCCCCAGCATAGTCACAGAAACCAAAACAACCATACATCGGACCTGTATCCCACAGAAACAGACTAAAGCCATGCGTGCAAAAGGAGCCAAAACCCTCAAAATGCCCCAACCTCCAACCAGCAATGTCACTCAGGATGTCACCAAATCAAACTCAAACACCTCGCCAACAACCAAGAAACTTGATTATCACTGTCGAAAATGTCTCAGATACACAGAGGGAATTCAAGTTTGGTGCCAAAAGCTACTTAATGCACATCACAAATCACTAACTTTTTTTAAGGCAACAATAAGGTACTGGAAGATGCTGAGAGATGTCTCATTCCCTGCTTCTTGCATCCTAAATCCGACATGAATGTCAAATTACCAATAATTAGAACAAGGCAGATTCAGTTGATCATTTTGCTTGTGATTTTAAACACTAAATAGGCACGCAATCAACTATGCCTTGTGCCTTGGGGTAAGTTATTATATAATAGTGCACGTGGAACCGTCAATTACAGACAAATTTTCAGTAATGAATTCCACCGTCATAGGCTACAGCTACTGCTGAGCAGATACTTGTCATATATATTATTGACAGTACAATTACCTTGTCATATTTCTGGCACAGGCCGTCCTTCTCCCTGTGTGTCTAGTTAGGATGTCTTCACGTGTAGTCCTATGTTGCAAGGAGAGAGAATGTATATATTAGGTCATAGAACGACTAACGGTTACATATTTCGTGGAATTTTCCGCGCGTGGTTCAGAAGTAGAAAGCAAAACGATCCGAAACCAAAGACATTTAACGGTAACAGTTACTGATCCGACTCACCTTTATACTGCGGGTCTACTCGTCGTAAAATCAACGTTAGGTTTGAGCTCTCAAATTCTCCTCGGTGTAGTGATGCCCTGGGGTGTGGAGGTTTAGCACCTCCATTCCCTAAGTTGCAAAGAGAGAAACATTGTATCACTATTAGGACATGTTGACTCCAATGGCAGAACGTTTGAAGGTTAAGCTACATAGTTAATTCATTACGGTTTTTACCTGATTAAATTACGAGGAGATTTCCGTGCAAGTGGTTCAGAAGTAGAGAGGAAAACGCTAGGAAAGCAATTACTTGACTGTCCGCTGAAGGTCACGTTACATACAACCGATTCCGGTAAACTGCAATATTGTCGACAGTCTCACCTTTACATTGCTGGTCTCCTCGCCGGAATGTTAACGTTATGTTTGAGCCCGTCGAAATTCAAGTAAGTACTTGTCGGTGTGGTGAGGCCCTGGGCGTTTTTGGCACCGCCATTTCCCCACATTTCGGCTTGCAGACAGCCGTGTCGATAGAAGAGCGACTATCTTCCCCTCGAGCTGTAGAAGCAGTTGAAGTCGACTGATTGAACTCAGCCGTCCCCGCACTCTGGCTTTAACTTCCAACCACCTGTGCGAAGAATTCTAGCCTCCGATTGGTCGATTGAGCAGAATCTTGGCATGCTCATTGGTCAGAAGAATGCACGTTTCCCATTGGTCATCTCTGCTGATTAGATTAATTTTGACGATTTGGTTTGCCAAATATGAGCCTGCAAAAAGAGCGCCGGCTAGCGACTTACTGGATGCTACAGTATTCAACATGCCCTTCAAAAAACACAGAATATGATACTGGTCTCTATTAAAAGCCATTAAAAACTAAATCGACTGATTGATAAATTGATTAATTGAACTAGGGGATATCTTGCTATTTGGTTCAGGCCTTTCGCCAGGTTTCTTCAAATCTAAAATTTCTTATCCGACCTTTTGGGATTTTTTAAAGTATACTACACACAATCTACAGTTCCCAATCATTGTTTTTTAATGAACGTGCTTAATTAGGCATGGCAGAAAGTAAACATACGTTTCGTTTTTCCAAATTATTAATCTTTCTTTGACAAACGTACTTACATTCTCGCACATGCACGATTTTGATGCTCACATAGATAATTCTAATTTATATTAGATTGCATCATAGACGCAGTCACAGTGCGGTCATGATAAGCAAAATACACATTTGTAATGCGTTTATTCCCACTAGACAAGTGCAATCACGTCAAACATTGCCCTTAGTCGATCCATCACCGATCCCTAGGCCGCCATATATATACTAGTATAGGCATCGATATATCTTGCTTTGTGACGTTTAAACTGTGATGACGTAGATGGTCACCAGAGGCGGGTCACCGGTACCAGAGCTGCGGTCACCAGAGGCGACGCCACGGATGGAGACTTTCCCAGATGACTTATTTTGCAGCAGCTATAATTATGAATCAATGATTACGTTAGAGACAGTAACATTTCCTTATAAATAACAATTTAGCATGTTCACAGTCTTGTCAAATCAGAGTTGAGTTCTGAAAATTCTGAAAATTCACATACTCCACAATTTTAGTTCACAAGACCCACCAGAGTGGTTCCAATATCATGGCTATTTTAGAGGCGAAACATATTACAAAACAGACTGCACTGCAGAGTAGTATGAGTGGTTCCTGAGTGAAGGGAGCTTGCTCGCTTGTGTGCAGCGCGGATAATTGTCACTAGGGGTCGCTAACAACCTATTGCGTCATCACGCGTCAGCTGGTTTTCCTTAGCTTTAAAGATGGCGGCGTGAAAGTGAGCAACTCGTGTTCCTCTTCCAAATCGTTGCTAATTTTGTCGAAATCTCTCCTTTTCTATCAGCACAGAAGAACTGAACGACGGAAGGAACCATGAACTTCGAAGACCTACTAAACATCGCTGCCCAAAAGCAGAAGAAGGCGGAGAAAGAGGTGAGAAATAGTTGGATATTTTGAGAATAATTTTGGACGAGGGGGAGGGCAAATGATCGATCATACATGTTTGTTATCCGGCTGTACTGTTGTGTGAGCAAACGTTCCCAGAACTTCCTTCCCGTGGCTCTGATTTTAAAGCAGAGTAAATCATTCTTCATTCCCGGACTATTTAGATCAACTTAGACAAAAGAAAAAGATTTTTCTCGTTGGGATTTTTACATACATACATGTAGTAGTACCATATGCTTGTCTCCTTCCGCCCTTTCTTTAGCCTTCTTCTGTGCTTAGAATATTAAATGGTGGTTACACCTTTGACAAGTATGTTAGAAAAGGCAAGGACTTGGAAAACGGTACTACTCAATGAAAATCTATTACTGTACTAGTTGTAGTGCTATTTAATAGAATCTATATTACGTATTAGTCATATATAGAATAATATAGCTTACATGTAGGTATGCATAATGATGTAGCAAGCAATATTTGGCAGGGCTTTATCCAGACTGTCTGATGTGCAATTTTAAATATGGATGAAATTTAGCAATAAAAAATGGCCGGGATTTTAATTTTTTCACTTCTTCAATGTGTCAACCTAACGTTACATCATAATACATGTAAATTACATGCTCAAATAATGTCACTGTTATTTAAAAAAATTGTTACATGACAGATACATTTACATTGTACATTTTGTAATGCAAGTACATTCTTATTGCTATATTTTCTGTATTGTTCCTTACAGCTGTCCAGTACAAGGAGGTACAGCACAGCTGCCAAACCTGCTAAGAAAATGGAGAAGCCCAAACCTAAAACTGTGCAGTCAGCTGCCATCAGGGCACTCATGGTGAAGAAACATGAGGAGGAGAAAAAACACGGTAACATTTCAAACAAGCAATAAATGTATCCAATTGCAAGCAATTACCTTTTTTTATCTGTCTGAAGAAAAAGGATATGTTTACTCCTCTTAAAAATATTGGAACAGTCCTGCTTTTATAAGTTCAATTGTAGTCAGATTGTATCTTTCTTGTTGTTGTATACTGAAAGTGCATTTAACTTTCCATCAGTTTTTTCGTAGTACTACTAGGAGAGAAAAAAATTTCTGCATGTATAGTAGTGTGTTGTCTTACACATATTTTGACATAACACCTGCATACTTAGCCTGGTTACCAAACCTATTAATATTAATAATGTATTATAGCTCCCGAGTCCTACATCCTCTCCGCAAATAGGATGTAGGACTCGGGAGCTATAATAGGTTTGGTAACCAGGCTACTGCATACTAGCAGACATTTTTCACATTTGTTCAATCAAATGACATGACAAATAGAAAGCAAATATAAAATAGAAATGACATGTTAAATAGAAAGCTAGATACTACATGAATCAACAATGACCAAGCTGTAAAGCTTGCAGATTAAGATACAAAGGCTGAAATAAGCAATTAGGCAATTAGGGTTGAACAGAGTCCATATGACAATCTTACATTCAACATTCTTTTGTTACTTGTACCCACTTTCAGCTGCTGAAGCCAAAAAGAGGATGGACGACGCTCAAGAAGTCCTCAGTAAGAAAAGGAAAAAGACAGACATCGTGAAAAGTCTGGCCTCGGCAAATACCTCATCTAGTAGTAGTAAAACAGACAAATCTCAGGACAAAAAGACACGCGATGAAAAATACGAGAGTGAAGAACACAAAGCCAAACATATGCAATTCATGCAGAAGGTGTCAAAATTAAAATCACCAAGAGAAGAAGTGGACAGGAAAAGGACCGACTATAAAAGGCCGCCTGATAGGCCAGTTCCAAAGAAGAAGGCCCCTCCTCCTCCATCTAAACCAATGAGCTTCCAGGATCTAATGAAGATGGCCGAGAAGAAGAAAGACGAACCAGTGCCCTTGCCAAAAATCCATGAACAGTTGTTTGGTGCAGATTCTGATGATGAAGATATCACAGAAGAGCCGAGATATATCTACAACAGTAAAGGGCGTTATCTAGACACCAAAGGCTCTGAATCAGGCAGCTCTAGCGTAAAATCAAAATCAAGAGATCAGAATGATAAATCAAGGGGCTCAGGGTCCAAATCAGACAAATCAAAATCATCTAACGATACATCTAAATCTAGCAGTGCAATCAAGGTTGATGCTTCCAAGAGACCTAGCACATCTGCGTACAATGGTACCAACAAGCCTGGTACCCCCTCCAAACAAGTGTCACATCCCACTGATAGAAGAGGGCCTGTCTCAGACAAGTCCAGGTCAGAAAGTGCCTCCAAACCTAAGTGTACTCTGGTCGTGGAGAGCCTCCCGTCACGCGTGACTACGGGACCACCGCGACAACCTCCGCCAAGAAGAGGGTATGAAGATATGAGGAGAGGTAATATATGTACATAACAGATTGTATTGCTGTAGATGCTTTGCTTTTAAAGTAACAGTTCCGGATCACAAATATTATGCCATGCAATCGTTGTATGATCGCACTCTGAAGGCATTTTTATTTTCATAAAGTCTCATTCATCTGTACTTCAAAATTCAGCTTTCTTAAACTTGTTGCTTGTTATATGGAAAAAGTTGTCTTAGATCCACATTGGCAGTTGGTTCTGTCACAGCCTGCGTGAAAATTCTACTACATGAAAATCATACAACAACCCACATGAAATGCCATAAGGTAAAGAAAAAAAGGTTTACGTCTCTGCTGCAAAATCATTTTTTGTCAACACACATTTTTTAAAGTGTTTTAAAGAATAGGCTACATGTAGTTCAAATCTCAGACATGACCTTGTATGACCTTGTGACTGCAGGTATGAAGAGAGGATATGACGATTCTGAAGAAGAGTCGGACGACTTCATTGATGACTCAAACGAGGATGTGGACTATTCCAAGTACATCCGAGAGATCTTCGGATACGACAAGAGAAAGTAAGTCCTGTTAAAAACAGAATCATCACATTTATACATCTACTGTTTATGAAAGGCTGAATAAACCTGAGTTTTCGTGTTTTTTTGTTGGATATTTGGTCAACGCTGCATCAGAATTTTGCCTGTTGCAGAATATATTGTCCAACAATCTTTGAAAACTATTGATGGCACTATTAACTATTAACTCACTCTCACTGTCCAGTCCATCATCTGTTGTTCCCCGTCTTCTGAGGGTTAGACGTGCTTGCACTGCAATACTGAGGCTTTATGGCAGCCTGCCACTTGCCTTTGTCCTGTGGGTTTACATTATACCGACGGCATACTTAAATACACGAATATGACCTTAAACAAGGCATTCTGCTGAAGTGCTGTGCAGAATACATCATGGGTTTCATGCAGGTGCAGTACGTTCTGCCAACATGCTGCCTATGTAGTACTATGTGTCTATATTTACTTACCATGCACCTGTATCCCCCCCTACCCCCATGTACAGGTACCGTTACGAGAGTGACCGTGAGATAGCGAGTATGGAGTCTAACTTCAGACAAGTCATGCAGGAGGAGGCCAGGAGGTCAGACCATTCTTCTTATTTGTGATGAAACTTACTCTAATAAAAGTTTTTAGTACAAGTGTATGTTGGTGTATTCTAGTAGGGGTACAGTAGAAGTTTATTTTGATGAAAGTAGAACTTGATAACAATGATTACAGGAGAGCTCATTTGGCCATCACAGTGTTCACTGGATGTAAGTCTCACTTACCTCTTTGATTAGGAATTGCAGTGCTGTCTGCATTTCTTTTCCTGCAATAAAATGTCACAATTAAGCCGCTAACTTTTAGCCTGGACACTTGATCAAAAGGAGTTTTATGCAGACTAAAATTGTATTTTGTATGTTGTACCATGTCATTGCATTAAGAAACACAGACCCATACATTGTATGGGAATACATGGGAATAATTAGAGTTTTTTTGTATTCATGATATTCATATACATGTATACCTTGATCACTACTAGTAGTTATCTCCAGCAGATCCTACAGCAAGACAGTATCCATTCGCCAGGGGAGTGTCCATTTATAGGTCTTTACTCCTCTGGTCAGTGGATACTGTCTGGCACCATAGCATCTGCTTGTAGGAGTAAAATTTGCTATAACCATTATTCCCTATTCCCCTGCAGTGCCCGTCTGGCCATACAGGAGGATGCTGATGAGTTACGTAAGGCTGCTGAGGAGGAGAAACGCAAACAGAACAGGTCAAAGGGCAAACACAGAAAGTAGTTCCACTCAGCGATGCACCAGAAGACGTAAATGGGAGAAAACATCTAAAGCACCCCATGCAGTTTTAGAGTGGCAAAACTGAATTTTCAAAGTCAATTTTCTGATCATTCTTTTCAAAAGTTTAATAACGATATCATGTTAGGCAAAAGTTCAATGTCACTGGTGCTAAATGGTTGCTTGTTTCGTATCGTAGGCTAGTGAGTGAGGCTGGATCTAGCTATTTATGGACGGTAAACAAAATAAAAGGGCTTCTCGTATAGCTTGTTTTGGGGCTATTTCAAATGCTTCATGTATGAAATAATGACAAAAATGTGCTAAGAAATGGCAGTAAATGTCAATATCAGACAGATTTGCTTGTCCGGTTTATTTTTTTTTATTTTGCCGCCCTGAAATTGCATTGGATGCCTTTAATGCTTATCTTGGGACTACAACATCTAATTGTAGAGATTGAATTGGTTCATATAATGAATGCCATTTGATATTTTGCTACAGTTATGTATCATATTATGTATCTTGTCACTTGGCATAGGCCAGCGTAAAGATTATACACTTAAACATGTATTTATGTTTCACTAGTACCTGGTGAATGCTTGAATCTTAAGTTATTGGTTGTCTTTTCTGTAACATGCTACTGTGAACAATGTCTGAGCAGTGCAGTAATTCAAACGTTCTGTTGTGAACAGTTTCTGAGCAGTGTATGTAAAATGTAACATTTCTTTTGCAAACAATATATGAGCATTATATGTCAACTATTTACGCTCAATTTAGATATGCATTTTTGTTCGGATTTTGCACTATATGTATATGAATTATTATGCATCATTCTCATTACGTACAACAACATACTGGATTATATTAGAATTTTGGTAAACCTCTGATAAACTGAAGAGTGTAGATTATTCATGTTGTCATTATGATTATATTACTTCATTTTAAGTTATTTTAAGATGACACTGAATTATGTACCCTAGAATACTAGTAATTTATTGTACTGTGTGCAATTCTACCTACCAGTTTGATTTTATGAATATCCATATCATGCATTAAAATGCTGAAAAGTCACTGTCAGTTATGTTATTTATTGACGATTCTATTTGACAGGGAGGTAAATCGTGACTTTTGTTCCACAAGTAGCCTTTTATCCCTTAGCAAACTCAAACGTTTACATTAACTTAATCTCCAAGTTGGTGTGTTGATCGATCCTGCTTTCACATGCCCATATTTTCTCTATTTGACCTTTTTCTACCGCACCCCATGCTTTAAAAGGCATCTAATGCGATTTCAGGCCAGGAAAACTGGAAATATTCCGAATAAGGCAATCTTTGTGATATTGACACATACTGCTTCACATCAGCACATTTAAATCAGCATATCATACTTTGGGCATTTAAAACTGCAGAAACAAGTCCCAAGATGAGTCCTTTATTTTTCTGGGTACCCTAAAAATCAGACCAGGGCCCTTCCAGTAACAATTTTCCGTCATTTTTGCTCCATTAGGGTCAATATACATTGGGATAGTTTGGTTTCAACTCAGTATGTAGATAAATGACTAGAATATTTGCTTTGAAAAATCGGCCCTTAAAACTGCACTGGATGCCAGGTTTAAGGCCCACACTACGCGACGTATAATACTAGAGAAAAGCGGAGCCCGCTTATTGACATGTGTGTCTTACTGTGTATATATGCGATGCGCACGAGATAGTAATCTCCAAGCAAAGTCTCTAGATCATGCAAGGGGAGTCTACATGTATGTTGGCCGCCTGTATTAAACCATTGGCTGCCTGTTGGATACTGCTTGGCCAGTTTGATAACTGTCTTGCCAATCCGGTACTGTATTGCAGCCACCCAAAGCCCAAGTGGAGATAAAATGTAACGAGGATGTGTGACCTCTGTGTGACTTTGATGACCTTGCGCCTTACTATTAGACAAAAATCTTCCACCACAAATATTTGTGACCGCCTTTCCTTTAATACGTCAATCTTGTGTAACTAACGTGCCTTCCTAAATGCTTTTCTCTAAATCGACGTCATCTTCCACGTGATCGAACCCCGCTGAAAACATCTGAAGTGGTGTTAAATTGGTTAGTTTACGCCACCCAGTCATCCTGAGATGTTTTTCCTAGGTCCAGTTTGCCTTGTTACCATGGGTGGGCGTAGTTGATGAAGTATTTGTAGCGTCATCTTGATAGCCTCCTATGCAGGCTTTACGAAGGCGGTAGAGCTTTTTTTTTACAAGGCTTTCACGGTGCCCTTTTTGTGTCTTACGGCATATCGCAGTTGCTGAAACAACACACAAAACCCGGCACAAATAGAACAGATATGCCCTAAGAAAAGAGGGTTTTATAAAAGTCCTCACAAAAATCTACAGCCCAGTAGTGGAGCCTGCTAAGGAGGTTATGATCGTGGTATTGTTGAGAACAGCGCCTGACGCAAGACTACGTTTGTCACGTACGTAATACATCAGTCTGACTTGAGAACCGACCGAGAGCCGCACGTTTCCTCAGCCCCTGATCAAAGGAAAGATTCAGGTATTGTGAGTATGAGTTCTGCCTAGTACCTTCTACTTGTATAAGTCGGAGTAGAGACTCTGATCTGATAGAATCGGCGATTCTGTCGGTAGAGACTCGATCCGATCATGATGTTAGTGTCTTAGGGCAGTTTCCCATTCACAAATCCTAAATTTTAAGTCAATTTATTGATCTAAAATGACATAAATGAAAATTCAAAAGTTCTATCTAAGTAACACGAATCAAAGTTGAAAAGTTCCGACCGTCTGAATATCTTAAAATTTACAGAATCTGATTCCAATATCGTGATGTCTGATGGTTGATTCTATCGGCAGAGGTCCGAATAGGAGTTTCTGTTGACAGAATTAGAACCAAATGTTCAACCCATTGGAATTTTAAGTTTTTTTTTCAAAAAGTAGATATCGGTAAGAAAAAAAAGGTACTAGTATTTTCCTTCTTGTCTGTTCAACGCCACGTGTGCATGTTACGCGTTAAGTCCTACACTCTTAAGGCAAACCTGGAAACATTCAAGGGGAGTTTGCAATACCAAGGGAAATGAAAGAGCCAAATTAGCCTGGTAGCATACCTCTGTTAAGTCCCAAGCACACAGAAAAGCTCTTGAAATCAAATGACACATACAAATTTATCATGTGACGAAAGAATGATGATGTTGTAATGACCTTCAACAATGTAGTGAAATTTCGTGGGCGTTGAATATATATTGAATGAATGACGAACTAACTATCGTTGTATAATTCAACTTCTAGCTTTTCAGTTATTACCTTCGTCAGAAGGTTATGTGTTTAAATACATCATACATATAGGGGTTGCTGATTTTGTAATCGGTTATAACTTAATTGGGGTGTGGTGCATGTATATCTTTATGATATTTGGTAGGTAGGATACGGTTGGGAAAAGGAAGGTGAAGTTCAATTTTGGGTACTCTAGCAGCTTTGTAAGGTACTGCAGCGGGGAACATGGGTATGATATCTCGTGCTGTGGACATGCTATGGTCTTGATTTTTGGTTTTCGATTGATGGTTTGTCCAGGGATGTTTAGGAACATGGGTTTTTCTACAGCGCTGTTCTCTTTTCTGTGAAGAATTCAGAGTATCACCTTCCTCCAGTACACCATGGAATGGGCCCACATCCTCCTCCTGTGCGGGACTGTGGGACTCCTTCTGTCCTCATCTTCAGCGGTGCCTCCTGGGAAGCCTACCGGTAGCCCCTCCCTCCCACCGCCGGTCGTTAACAGTCTCGGTAACAAGCCGGCGGCTGACGGGAACAAGTCCGGCTGGCAGGACATCCAGGACGCGTACTTCGCACTGTCCAGCATCCGGGAACAACTGGATCAGGCCCGGGAACAACTTCAGGAGGCGTACGATAATAACGGTGAGCCCCACCACCAAACACACAACCATGAAAGAACGGCAGATTCTACAGTAGCTAAGTTCTATTGGCAAAATGATCATGATCAAACTAGACTCAAGCGGAAGTTTCAGATGTTTACAAAGATCAAGGAGGTTTGAAATCAAATTTAAAATTAGATTTTAAACCCCCTTGCAAAGACATGATATGGTCTAGTGTGACAGAGAGCTAGTTACCGCTTGCCTATGAAGATATAAGGTGAAGCCTACGGTAAATTTTGATTGCGATTTTGGAATAAAACATTCTTTTTACGTATCCAAGTGTTTTATTGAGTCGACATTTCGGTGACCGTCTGTCACCTTCCTCACGTCCGGCACCTTCCTCAGGGGAATTCTGACTGGTTCACATTGCAGAGCACAAGTATACAATCATGTAGATGTGACAGACGGTCGGCGGAACGTCGGATGAATAAAGTACTTGGCTGCGTAGAGTATTTTAGTCAGTGAGTTACCAACCTGATGAAACCATTCACAAAGGTAAATTTTTATGTAGCTAGTTTCTAATATTCTGACCAGATCTTTAACGGTTGTAAAGCTGACCATGACCCTAATGCGCGAAACCATTCAGTTATAATGTGCGTAACTGTTTCGCACCTTGTTTACCACCAGATTACGAAGCTGCCCGGAGGCTGGCCCAGCAGATCCGTGACCTTCAGGAGGAGCTACAGGAGGCGTACAACAACCTCACCGCATTGACAGGCTAAAGGAACAGGTACAAACTCATACTGCAATTATAAGGACACAATGTTCAAGTATCCATGCCTTTCCCACACCGCCTACGCTTGTATACAATACTATTAGTAAGTTTTGAACACCAAAAGACGGTTAAACCGACTCATTGACGTAGATATGAGTGGGTACAGTGTGGACCCAGGTGTCATACATTTGTATGTTCTCATGACCATTCATCATTGTGGTACCCACTGCCCCCACAGTTTGCCTGTTTGTTAAGTTTGTTACATGCCTTACATACATGTATTTCATTGTATTGACCTTTATTGTTGATTTTGACTGATAGATCCCAAAGTCGACATGAACGGTTCAACCTGATCATTTCTTCTACCCATACATTCACTGCTTTGTTTTATTTTGTTTTGTTTTGCAGGAAGCAAAAGGGATCAGCACCGACCATATGGCGAACTGAAGATTTTTCTCCCAAAATAATATTGAAATATAAAATGTTACACCCTATCAAACTAAAAACACATGGCCAGAGGTTTTTTGTATTGGTGTAAAAGTATCAGTCCAAGTAATAGGAATATTTCAAGCGATACAAAAATTCAGCAACTTGAAGACGTTATAACATGATCCTATTGACGATGTAAAGTCTTACGGATTGTAGATGAAGTCAAGCAAGAGAAAAAAAAAACATGCAGCAAACAACTAGATGTCTTCTTGTCATTTTTCCAATATATGGTGAAAATATGCCTGCATGCCACAGTGAAAGATTGTTAATAGTGTAAAAAGGTAATGGAAAAAAAGATACCACATGCATATTACATTCAATATAGCAATTTATTGTCATGTATGTCAGAAATGCAAAGGCTACCTAAATTGTGCAGATCCATGTGCACAGGTATCAGGCTATGTTTCTCACCATCAACGGTACAATATTTTGTATGCACAGGTAGGAGCAGCAGGACATATATATTTTAGGCAATTTTAATAAAGTATAAATTTGAACACATGATATACATCTGACACTTCTAATCCATAGCTTTCTGTAGTAAGACAAACATTTTGGGGTTGTAAACTCCTCTAAGGGCATCAAATTAGAGAGAAAGAAAATGGATGATTTGGGGGAAAATACAGAGGAAGAGGATAGTGCTTTTCATTGAAAAAAAAGTTGTGTATTGCATTAATTAAGAACAAAGTTATGCAAAAATTTAGAATTCAAGGGATCATGAAGAGGTCTTTTAACATCAGAAAACTTGGACCAAATTTTGGCACATTCCTCATATACACATTCTACATGAAAAACTAGCATTATGTAGTCCAGTGGTTTGAGACTTGAATTTTGTTTTGCAACGTAGAGTTGTGTAAAGGATAGCTGGACATCCTGGACTGATGCTGTGTACAGTATCACATGATGGTTATTAATGGTAATGTCTCATGTACAACTACATCCAGCAATCACACAATTAGCTTTTATATAGTCTAAACTTCATATCAGGATTAGAGAACATGATCAATATGCTCAGCACAACTAAGGAATGTCTTATTTCAGAACAACATTTACATAAACACACATGACTAGCTTATGTAAGTCTCTGTCTCTTTAAGTATTACACCTAAAATACTATTGACTTCATACGTACATACACACGCACACACACACACACACACATGCACATATGCATCCACACACACACACACATACATGTACATACATGTACATACATACAGTATATAGAAAACACAACAGAATTACCGTATACAAAGTGATATCCAATGCTAACTAACAATAGCTTATACATGTATATTAGTCAATTACATTGTATACACAATATGTAGTACTCTGGTATATACATGTACATGTACATGTAGAACAATCTACAGGTAACATATTCATACATATAGTATGTACTTCGTCCTTGGACTGCTCCATCAAAAAGTAGGGGTGGTCTTGTTTTCTTCCCAAATAAAAGGTCAAACGTTTATTTACACAATTTGTGTGTCTGTCCCCACTGTTTGGTATTAGTTTTCCATTGTCCCCTTTCAGGAAATAAACTTGTCCACCCCTGATTAATTTAATGGAACAGCCCACATGCAACAAGTTGATTTTGCAAAAGCTTTGGCCATTTCCTGGGTGCAGGACAGGAAAGAACAACAATCACTCGTTTGGATCGTCCTCTTCGTTGTCGGAGTGATCAGGGGGCGGAGTCTGTGCGCGGGCCACCATCTCGGCCACGCCCCCCTCCACCACGTGTAGCCGCCCGTCACTGCCAATCATGGTGGGTTTTACAATGCCTTCCCTACAGGGTGCAAAGGGAAAAACTTCATTAACATAAACCACTTTCTGAACACTGCAGCAGTGACACATACATTTTTGCACTATAAGCTGCAGTGCTCTAAAGTAGAACTAGTCAGTAGTGTTTATTGTATATTACTGTAACAACTTTATAATGTAAACTACATGTACTGCATTTAGCCCACATGCGCATGAAGGCGCAAAGTAACATCATTGTCATTGCCAGATGAAGATGACAGATGGTCACCAAAAAGTTGGCTTGCAAAACTACTTTGCTTGCAATTGTGAATACAGTTATACAATGTCATTTACTAACCTGATGAAATTATTCCAGGATGTTAGAGGAATGATAAATATTTGAATGCAATGTCTAGATGCAGAGAAAACTGTAGTGCAATGAGTGCCGGTATGATGCGAATTTCCTGCTTAACCTGGTCGTGTTCTATGCATAATATCTTATTCAACATAACACAACAAGCGAAATGTACATTGGTATGAAAAAGAAGATACTAAATGCAATCTAAAACTGTGCTATTTATCTTATAATTCTATCAGATGGTACTAATATCAGAGGAAACATTCATCCACAGTTGTACTAAGTCTTCAATGATGATAAAAAATAGCATACCTTACTGAAGTAGTATCCTACATATGGTAACAACGTCAACTGTGTGCCTGACTGAGTGTGTACCTTGTTAACTTGTCAAAGTCGCTGGCCAGCTGCATGAAGAGATGTTCCTTCTGTTCCTCAGTCATCTCCTCCAGGGGGTTAGGTCGGTCAGGCTCCACCCTCCCGGTCACTGGGTTAATTCTGTCGGACAAGAGCAGACATTGTCCTCAGGATGTACAAATTACATGTAGAGTCTGAGTAGAACATATTAACTGTCACGATACTCTTACACTGTAGGTACATGTAGCCTGGGACCCAGGGTACTGCTTTTGTGAACTTTCTTCTTGCTACCCTCCCTCATAACTTTAAAAATGGCTACTTGGCAGGCTGAAGGTTAATACTGTATTCAAATGTGGCTCCCTTACTACATGTACAGTGTACATAACCTGCCAACCAACTTATGGGATCCAGCATAAACTTGAAACAAGCATGGTATCCTGGCTAAATGGATTTTTAGTGATGAACCAGAAAGGATCATAAAAGTAATGTAGTACAAATTTTTCTTTTCAGGTCGCAGATTAGAATTTTTTTTTCTTCTTTTTTTGGTGTTTTGGATTTCTGTGACATCTTCTGTGCAGATCCTTATTTTTGTGAGAAAACTAGCGGGGTATACTAATGTCTAACTTAAGGAAATATCCTCTCCTTAAAACCCATAATAAGGCCACACCAATTTAGTTTCTTGGTTAACGGATTTTTCTAGAAAAATAATGGAGTGGGCGGGCGAAAAAAACTAAAAATAGAAACAGGCCTAGGCATCCTATTATGGCCCAAAATGATACGATAGGAGCCATGAAGTCAACACACCAGGCTGGTTCAAAATTTAAACAATGGATTTTGAACTTTTAATGGTACCACTGCATCGAAACATAGAAACTGTAACAACTAGGGAGAAAAGGACTGTTTTCAACTGTTCAGGGCAAAATATGAGCATTTTGCAGTTGATTCTGATTTTTTTTTCAAATCTGATAAAAATGAAGCGGGCGAATCTGTTAACCAAGAAATCAAATCGGTGTGGCCTTAGTTAAAACCCACAATAAGATTTGTCTGTAACAGTTCTTACTTGTCCTTGGCCACCAGGTATTCCTCTGTGTCACTTTCCTCATCCCCACTGGAGTAGTTGTCCTGTCCAGAAGACGGCCCGCCCGCCAGCAGGCCGCGGTGCGCGAGCAGTCCCGCCGCGTTACCGAACCCTGTGTACTTCACCAGCCTGTCAACTGTCAACAACAACAACCTTTGATAAACAACCATTTCTTGAATGGAATTCTGCCATTTAAAACAAATGTGAAAATTAGAAAAAAAAACTTTTAAAAGTGTAGGAAAGTGCATATAGTCATGTAGATCCACCTTCTTTTTGCATGTGTCTGTGTTTTATGTACATGTACATGTTAGTAGTTTTATGACCATAAGGTAAACTGATGTACCAGTCATTAACAATGTATTGCTCATAGTATAAAATAATTCATTGACTTTATTTTGGAGTAGGAGGCAAAAAAAAGAAGGTTTTAGCAGTGTTTTAAATGTAGTTGAATCAATTTTAAAGCACAGTAGTCATACAAGAGAGACATATATATATATATATATATATGTAGCAAAACTTTTGTGTCATGAATTTGCTGTAAAGAGGTTACTACAAAAACCATTGAAATAAAACTATATTACTGAAAAGTTGGCAACTGTGCAACTCTTACCATTCTCCTTGCACAGAACAAAGAGGAATTCTGCAGCTGTCTCCTTCACCTCCGTTACTACACAGGTCATCAGACGCACGCACCTGAAATATACACCTGTCTTTACAAATTTGTATAACAAATTGACACATTTTTCTGTTACATAAGTTGTTGTTGCTGATGAAATACATGTGCAACAAGAAAAACAGAAGCAAAAGTTTGCTTACTTGTTGCGCAACTTACAGCCCTCCTGTGGTAAGGATTCCACATCTCTCAAGGGTGGCAAAACCTACACAAGAAGAATATGCATTTGTACATGTAATGGATGAAGCAAATACTGTATGTAGGCAAAATTAGTACATGTTTTACATTGTCCGAACAGTATTACAGTCAAAACTGCCGAAGAAAACCACACAGAGGACCAATGAAACCTGATGTACATGGACAATTGGTCACTATAGAAAGAATTTACAATCATGGAAAAAATCTTCTACGGGATAATCAAGAAGTGGTTAAATTGGCATGACCAGGTGGTCCTTATGTAGACGTGGTCACTTGTCTGTAGATGTATGATTGTACATGAGTAAGAATTACCTACCTTAGTTCTGAGGAACTTCCTGATGTTACGATTGGCTCTAGAGATGGCGATCAGACAGGTCAGGACTGGGGTCAGGGTCTCCAATAGACGTTTGTTCTGCAAAACATGCAAGCTTGAAGTTTTCAACCTACACAATCCATTTCATTCATTTGTAAAAAGATTAACCTTCTTGATGGCAAAGAACAGGTAGCAGGGAAAAGGTTAATGCTTTCAAGTGAAATTATTAAGTAGTTATATATAGTGCAAAAGGATTAAATTGGCAGCAGAACAGAAAAGTGTCCCAGTGCAATTTTCATCGAGCAAAAATTTCAGCAAAACCTAAGGCCATCTTGAGTGTAATTTTTTTCTCTAAAGGCTAGATACATAGATAGAGACAGGATTAAAGTCGTACCTGGTCTATTCTTCTCTCTAAGAAGTCCAGAATGGTCATGATGGCGTCCATGTTCCAGCCGTCATACTCCGTCCCCACGCCCCGCTCCCCCTGTCGGACTATCACCTCACCTAGACAGCTCCTGGGCATGTTGGTCATCAGGTTGATAGTGTGACTGTGGGGGGAGGTCATGCAAAAAAGAAATCTTAGAATAGCTGTATAAGTAGAGTCATGAATACTATATCAACTACATGTATAAAGTGTAGCGTATTGTAGCATTTATATGTAGAATTGTAACATTCCTGACAAGTAATTTAGTCAACACTCTGTTTAGTAGTCATAGAATTACATGTTTTGTATAAGAGTGGTACAACTGCTCACTGTACCCTTCATAAGTATAGTTTAGTGTAATATCGAACGTACGTGTAGAGTTGAAATATTTTCTAGCCAGTAGTTCTTTATAACGCTCTGCCAAACACAGTAACCGTTGACCATATATGTAGCATTATGAGAGACTCATACCAACTAGTAACTTTATTATTTGCCATACATTGTACCCATGACAATCATTGTGCAATAAACTTTGACTTGACATGTCAAATCTGTGCATCTGTCACTAACAACCCATGGGGGTAGTGGGAGTAACACCTGATCTTGGATACTCAACACTCGCTACAATATAGCTACATTTTAGATTTAAGCTCAGAAGAGGAGCAGTAAGACCTGCAATTAGCTTTTGTCTTCCATTCCCCCATATGGCATCTTAGGAAAAGTCTTACCTATGCAGCTCCTCTTGTTTTGTCTCACTAGATGCTCGACACATCAGCATATACCTGCACACAGCTGTCATCTGTTTGTACCGCTCCAGCTCCTCCTAGTGATAACACATGGAATTACAACATGAGCAGGAAGGCCACAATTATTATTTAACTTGGCAATCTAAGAAGACTGTGACAGTCATAGAATGAAAAAAAAAGTTACTGGTAAGTGGACCAACAAAAACATTGCCGTCAGTTTAGATTTTACAATATTTGAAAAGTGTACGTTCCTAGAATCAGAAATTTTATTTCAAATCATCAGAGTTATGAATCTGACCATCCATAACAGTTGGCAATGAATAACAAAATGGCTACTATACTAATACTGTACTAACCTCGTCCAGCTGCCTGGCCTGTCCAGTGAGGGTGACATTGAACATGGTCTTGAGGATCTCTGACAGAAGGTCCACCTGTTCATCTGTCAGGACCACACCCTCCAGTGTACCTGTAAAAATGTAATAACGTAAAAATGTAATAACAGGAACAGAATAGTTTAACTTTTCATTAATGACAGTAATGGCAATGTAAAAACACGTACAAGGCTCAAAATACTGGGTGCATACACTCCTTAGTGCAGGTAAAATTGGAGCTGTGCAGATACATATATTTCTGATGTTTATCACTCGTAGACTTCCCTACTCTTCCCCACACCCCACTCATAGCCCTCCTTACTCTTCCCCACACCCCATATACTTGCACCTACACTCAGTGACTGGGCCACATACATGTACTAGGTGTAATGTAGGTGTACATATGTGAATTTTTATTTGCAGCATTAGACTGTTTCTAGCCATTAAGGATACAAGAAATACAGGATACAGGATACAGTAAAAGATTAATTAATTGAACAGTTTCAGCATGATCCATTTATACTTCCTAAATTCTGAGTGTTGCAGGTAAAATTTGTCTGATGAAGGAAATTTTACAAATTTTTCAATGTTACCTGCACCAGTGCAGGTATGCAGAAAAAAGGATTTCGAGCCCTGACACAAAAAGCTACAACAGATACTGTATAATACATGTACATGTTGTAGACTGTACATCCTATATTATATATGAAGGCATCCAAACATACCCAGAGTGCTGTTGTTCTCCACACCCAGAGTGTGCTCCATGGCTGACAGCAGCAGTGCTGGGGCATTAAACTCAACCTGCAGTCTTTGTCTGACAAAAGACAGTATAAATTTTTGTTAAGTTCACTTGTGCTCAGTGCACAAGTGTTCACAATGATCTCAACCTTTGAAAGATGGTTTTGTAAATGAACATATATGGATGTCTTTGAAATGACTGTGATGATCCATACAATGTATATGTTCATTTACAAAACCATCTTTTTCAAAAAAGATTATAGACAATATGTAACGATTATGAGAAAATAAGACAATAAATATATAGCCCAATATTAAATAATTCAATATCTACCTGATGTCAATGCACAAAGCTGTCAGTAGGAATGTCAGCCTTACAGCAAAAATCTGCAGAAAAAGAATTGATAATTATAAATAAATATAATATACACATGTACACATACGTCATGTATTAATCTTACTGGGGAACTCTAGTACATACACTTCTGAAATGTCAAAACTCATCATGACCTGCCAATGCATTATAAATTATATGTCATGTTAGCTGTACACAGGATGGATGCACATGTACATGTATTATAAAATCACAGTCTTACCTTGACATCATAGGACAGATGAGGGTCTGAGATGCACTTCAGCCTGCCAGCCACCCCCTCCACACAGCCATTAGAACTGCTCAAGAAAAACATTCAAATCAACCATCATCTGGGGCAAGAACTTTGATTCTTAACAGTAAGATTTTTTTCATCTTCAAGATTACTAGTAAAATGGCAGACAAATACAGCAACTGCATATAATAATTTTCTTCAGTTTCCTCTTACTAAACCAAACCATCTACTTAATCAACTCTCCCGGCATTGTGTGCCGGTACCTGAACTAGACCTGACCTGCAGAGTCTCTGTGCAGTGGGACTTGTGAAGATGATGTTACACAGGCACTTCTCTGCCTCTGCCATCACTGTACAAATAAACCAAAAATATATACTGTACATGTATAATTACTTCACAGCAAAATAGAATATGTACAGTGTCAGGGATTTGCAACTTCGAAAGGTCACAAGAAGAACCTTTTTTAGGCTTAAGAATAAAGCCACCGCTAAAGTTTCATTTTTAACAGTACTGGCTCCATAGAGTTACCTTCATCTTCTGGCAGCTCAACCACAGCCTCCGCCCCATCCATCCCAGCATGCTTCAGGAGTGTGGTGACACACGGCGGCTTGGCTAGGAACTGCAGGGAGGCCTTGTCCCGGCTCAGGATGCGAATGGTGGACAGACACGTGGCGTGGCACGATGGCTGCATGTCCTTGTTCAACACTTCAAGGATCGCTGATACAAGATCCTGAAATTTGTACAGAAGAGTGACTACAAGAAGCAGTACGCAATGAAAGAGTTTTACATGTGATAATCTCAAAGCGGTTTCTACCATTTAAGCCCATCCCAACTTGCTGTTGGATATGCTGTTAGTGAAGCTGACGACACTTCTCCATTTAATCACCTTGTTATCAGGACAGCTTTAGTTGGATCTGATGCACTGTATGATGTAAACTTAACAATGTATGATGTAAACATGTATAACAGTATATACTTAGAAATCAATAAAATTGTTGTATTGTGGTACTAGCCAGATTATGAGAAAAAAAATCAGGCACTGACCTTTCTCTGGTCTTGCTGAAGTTCTGGGAAGCCAAACGTCTGTGCATGCTGAGGAAACACATTTTTCACATGTCTTGAGTACATCTTGTCATTGATCAAGTACCGGTGTCGTGACATTACAGGTAACAACTACCTGACACTGCAGGTCTCACTGTGTGACTGGGTAAAATATATACAAGTAATACACAAGCCCTACCCGCAGTTACATGTACTAGTACTCACAAACATGGATACACCTTCTATGTCAGTCACCCGCCTCCTGAGTCCAACCCCTCCCCATCAACTGTTACCACCCCACTCTCCATCACCTGATGCCTCCCCTCCGGTCTCCCATCACCTACTAGTAGGTGCCCCCTCCCCATCACCTGCCACCTCTCTCCTCCCCATCACCTGCCACCTCTCTCCTCCCCATCACCTGCCACCTCTCTCCTCCCCATCACCTGCCAATGCTCTCCTCCCCATCACCTGCCAATGCTCTCCTCCCCATCACCTGCAGCACTTCTCTTTGGTCTTCTCCCTATCACCTGCTGCCTCTCTTCTCCCTAACACCTGCTGCCTCTCTTCTCCCTTATATCACCTGCTGCCTCTCTTCTCCCTATCACATGCTGCCTCTCTTCTCCCTATCACCTGCACTGCTCTCCTCCCTATTACCTGTCTACATGTGTACATCCCCCTCCCCATCACCTACATATGTAGGTGCCCCTCCCCTCACCTGCCGCCGCCCCCCTCCCTCACCCGCCGCCGCCCCCCTCCCCTCACCTGTGTGTTGAATGACTGCAGATGCTTGTATATTTCCGCCTGGTCTCCACCCTGCAACGCTGCCACCACTTCGTCCACTCCCTCCATTGTTGTAAAAGGTGAATTTGTTTCGATTTTCGTGCAACACAACTATAAGACATTCATGGTCTCGATTTTACTGTGATATACACAAGAACATGATTACGGGACAAACCATTAACTACCGTTATGGAGGGAGTTTGTCAACGAGAACAAAAAAGACACATGAGGCTGGTACAGAAAAGCTCAACATAATACAACCTAACAAAAAGCGTTGAAAATGAGCTCTTGTTTTCTCTCATATCATAAAATGACTTCAATGCAATGGCCTTTACAAAAGTTAGTGGTTTTCCCCTAAATGTGGCCATTTACAATATTGAAATCCAGATTTTGTTACACATGACGTGATTGGTTCGTGAGATAGGCCCAAACGAGTAGCAACCAATCACGTCAATTGTCACATAAACGATCCCAAAATGCAATGGGAAGCAAAATGGCTTCCATGAGGTGAAATTTTTCCTCTCGTCTTTTGTTAGATTTTTCCAGGTAATTTTAGCGGTTATTATAAGCCGAGGTACAGGAATGGGGAAGAGGAAAGAGCGCCAGGCGCCCTCTGTTGGAGGGAGGAGGAGGCCGATGCTACAAATCGAGACGACGATACGAAAAGACAACGTGAATGGTGAGGGCTTTTTGGCTGTTGTCAAAGAAATTGCGTACTACTAGTCGCTACTAGATAATTGGAGGAGGAAAATGGGGGCGATTACAGGCCGCATGAGTCTGACATCAGATGGTTTTATCCAAATTTAGGGTTTTGAGTTTGTGAGGGAATAGGAGAAGCTGTCTGAGAATACTTGTCTGTTGCAATAAGAACACTCAAGTCAAAACGC